ATTACTGTGAGAATCCGGTAAGTCCCTGACCCACCCCGTGGGGACTGAGAAGGAAGTTGCTGACCTCTGGTACCATCCTTGCCCATCCCTCCTGGCCCTGCCCCAAGCTCCTTGCTCATGGGAGCCACATTTGCTGGCTGCCCCAGGCCCTCCCTGGTTTACACATGGCAGGTGAGGCCCAGCATTTTCTACTGCCTGAGTGGCCTACATTGGTTCCCCAGTTCCAGAGTCAGGTTTAGGTGGACCTGCTGTGGGCACTGCTAAGGCACAGCCTCTCTTATCCACATACATATGACCTTTGGTACCAGATAGAGGACTAGCCATCCTCACGTCATCTCTGCCCCGTTTCATCATGAGAAAAGACAAAACAATGTTCTAGATGGGATTGGCTGGGCTATCAGGAGTTAACCAAATCTCAATGGTGGCCCCGGGAGCCCAACCCTGTTCCTGTTTCCATGGGGAAATAGATCCAGACTCACAAACTTCTGGAAGTTGTAACTTCCAAAAGTTTTTATTTTGGAATACATCTTGTTCTAAGTTGGGGACATTCTGTATTTTATCTGGCCAGGAAAAGGCAGCTGCCCAGCCTCAGAGGTTGTGGTCGAATGTTTGACAGTCACAGATGGTGGCGGGGAGAAGGCATTTATCACTTCTTGTGGCTCACAGAGACCAGCTACCAAAGGCTTGATGAGAAGTCTCTTCCCACACACAGGAACCTCTTGCCCTCAGTTCTCTCCCCAACTGCCCCGCCTCTAGAGGGAGAAGTGACCCAACCTCATGGGGATTTAAGTATTGCTGTGTCCTAGACTCCAGGGATACCTGGACCCCAGAGCTTCCCATGGATGCTGGCATAGGGAAATCCCCTCTACTAGCCTCAGAATGTGTGTTCATGGGAACAGTCAGGTTTATGCTCCTGAGAGCGTAGTTTAGCTGAAAGGACTGGGATGCCACCACCAGGATTAACTCAGACTGTTTTAAAAAGAAGGAAAGGGGGAAGGGCAGAAACTCTGAGAGACATGAGGCCCCCCTCCTCTATTTTAATTCTTTAGTGTGGACTGTATCCTCTTGTTCCTTTCCCCTCCTTCCCAACTCCCAGTACCCCTTCTGGTAGCTGTGGGCAGAAACTCAGCGAGCGGCACTTTTTCTGTGCCCATCAGTGTGCTGGAATTCAGTGCACAGTATCTCACCTGGCCTCAGCTCTTTGTCTCCAGAAAAAATAATGGGCTGCCTGAGCATTAATGGGCTGCACTCTTGCCCGAGTGGTGCTGCTTTGTGGGTGCCTCTGCTCCCACTTCCTGCAGACATACATTCTTCCACGAGTATAAGAGCTCAGGTCACCACTCGCACCCCGCTGGTATCAGCCTCTGACACCTTCTAAGGAACCTGGAGCCACATCTAAAAATATATGACCCTCTCCCTCTGCTAGAAAGCAAAGGCCTGAGGTTCATTCAGTCTGCAAGGGTTTCCTGAGCACCTACTATGTACCTCGCATGCATCACCCAGGATGCCAGGGGCACACCTCTCACTTAGCCTCCTGTTGATGGGGTGCTGGGAGAGGAAGAGGAAGAGAGCCTTACACTGAGTCCCAGGGGATAGAAGTTAGGGGAACACAGGAGAGCAAAGCATTCCAGGCAGTGGGGCCAGCATGGACCAAAGCCCAGAGCAAAAAGAAAGCGTGGCCACCCAGGGCACAGCAAGTGGCTGGAGAGGACGGAGGTCAGGTGATGGATGGGACTGCCAAGAGCCAAGGCCGAAAAGTGGCAGGGCCCAGCGCTGGCCAAGTCCGCCATTGGGTCTGAGATTACGTAGAGCAGGGTAGGGGTCGGGATTGTTTGTGGCGTCTAGTAGGAGACAAGGGATGTTTCTTACAGAGACTCACCAGCAACAAGGATGGGCTTCCCAGGACCACCAAAGCCCCTCTGTACCCACTCATCATAGCCCAGGCCCCAGAGCCCTCCTGCATTCTTGCCATTCTCTCAGAGGGGGCACCAGGGGCTAAAGTAAGTTTCCTTTTTTCCTTACAGGAGGCCCAGTTGGCCACAGAGTATGTCCAGCATATCCGACAGGCCCTGGACATTCTCTCTGCGGAGGTAGGAGAGAGGCTGCATGTTCCTGGGTCCTGCCAGCTGCCTCCCGGGGATGTATCTAGGCAGGTTGTGTTGAGATGCTCACTGAGCAGAGACCTGAGTGGGCACCTGGATGGCAGGGAGGGAGGAGCTGCCAGGCTCCTCGGCTGGGGAAATTCTCACTTGGCCAGAGCCAGGGTTGTGCAGTAGGAATGAGCTTGCCTCTCAGCCAGCTGGCACAGGTTTACAGTCAGCACTGTGGCTTCGGGCAAGTGACTTCTCTGTGTCTCAGCTTCTCAATCGACAAAGCAGGGCTGCTCAAGAAGGTTCAGTGAGATAGTACAAGCCACATCCCCGCCTCTGGGCCTCAGTTTTCTTTACTGGTGAAATTGGGGAATTGGATTGTAGATGATCCCCAGGTTCCTCCCGGCAGTAGCCACTGCCCTCCTCCTACAACTGCCTGGGGCCTGATGACACCATCCCTCCACTCCCGGCAGCTCCCAAGGGCTTTCGTCAACGTGGTGGAGGTCATGGAGCTGGCCAGCCTGCACCAGGGCCAAGGCGGGAAATGTGCCATGCTGGCAGCTCAGTAAGTGGACGGGTCACTGTCCCAAGGCAAGGGTACCTGGGGTGAGGAGGGCTTACAGGTACCAAAGGAAGAGACCTGCTTAGGCAGAGCCAGGCGGGCCTGCCAGAGGACAGACAGGGCTCAGGGGCTTGGAAAACAGCAGGCAGTACCTCCACATCTGCGAATGCCTACTGCATGCAAGTGCTTCATTTCATTCCTCTAGACCCTAGTTTGCTTTTTTGTAAAAGGAGACAGACCAAATGATACTTAAGGCTCCCTGGCAAGTTCAACTTTGGCAGGTTGCCCCCTGTGGAGAGGCAGCCTGGGGCCATGAGCTTTCAAAGCTGCTACATCCAGCCTCAACTCCTGCTCTGCCATTTAGGAGCTGTGGTTCCTTGAACAAACCACATAACCTCCATGAGCCTCTGTCCTCCTCATCTGTAAAGCAGGGGTGATGACACCTTCCCTGCAAGGAAGATGTGAGGTCAAGAGGAAGCAATGAAGGTACCTGGCCTATGGAGAGCAGGGTCTTAGGAAATAGCTCTTATTCCGTCCTTGATGGGACCTGTCCTTAAAGCTGGGCTTGGAGGCAAGGTGCCAATGGGCAAGACAGGAACTCCTGTCAGGTTGGAGTTGTTAAAGCTCTGGAACCCTGGCAGGAAGTTGCCATGCTCTGAGGGCAGAGGGCTCCCAAAGTTTGAGTGACTGTTGCTATGAGAGAGGAGATTCTCCAGGGAGCTGAGGCGTCCCCGACCTGGGCTCAAATGGATTTGCTGCAAAGTGACCAGCTGCTTCCGATTCTTGTAAGGAACCCTGCTCTCGTGCAGGGAACAGCCCTTCCAGAGTCTGCCTGTATCATCATGTTGCATGTTGTCGGGGTGGCTTCCAGCCGGTGGGCCCTGCCCAGCTTTCCCACAGACTTGCCACACTGGAGTTCTAAGCAGTTGCAGGAAGAGCCGAGAGGCCCCAGGAACATGAGCAGTGATTGCATACCCAGGGACAGAGCCATCGTGGCTGGCTTCCAACACTCCAGTCTCCTGTCTACCCAGTCCTGCTCTGGAGAAGTCCCAGGGACCACAGGCTCAGAGTGAAGGAGGAGTGAAGGAGTGAGGGAAATAGGCGTTCTGTCCACAAGGAGGCCCCAGCACCAGGGCCAGCTCTCCCACTTTCTCTATGAACAAGCATCCTCTGGACCTCATGGCTCCTGAGTTAGGGTTCTGTGACCTGGGTCTGATAGTCAGACAAAGGTATGCGTCACCCTCCTGCCCCCAGGTAAGGCAGTACAGGCACCTGGGGCAGCAGGCTGCTCTGTGTGTCAGAGCCAGCCTACCAGGGGGACAGAGCCGCCAGGCCCCGGGGAGCCTCAATCCAAGATTCCCTGTCTCACAGGAACAACTGCACTTGCCTCAGACCCTCTCAAAGCTCCCTGGAGAAGCAAGAACTGAAGAAAGTGAACTGGAATCTCCAGGTAAGCCCTGCGGCCCTTCTCTTACTGGCCCAGCTGGGGGCCCCTGTACTCCCCAAGCAAGGATTCGGAAATGGAATGTCGAGCAGGATTTGGCCAAGAGCAAACCCCTCCCTGACAGCAGATCACAGCCCCTGAAATACTTACCCCTGCAAATTGAACACCACGGCCGAAAAGGGAGAGACCCCAAAGTGGTGGCTGAGAGAATCCCCTCCTCCCAGTGGGTAGGCAGCAAGAGACTCGCAGAGTAGATTCCATGTGGTGGGACCATTCCCCGCCCAGAACCGTGTGTAATAATTACTACTCACTTCCTCCCCTCCCTTCATTAAAAAAAAAGGCTTAGGCCTGGCACAGTGGCCCATGCCTGGTGTCTCGGCTACTCAGGAGGCTGAGGTGGGAGGACAGCTTGGGCCCAGGAGCCGGAGGCTGCAGTTAGCTATGATCATGCCGTTGTACTGCTGCCTAGGCAACAGAGTAAGATCCTATCTCAAAAAGAGAAAGGCCTTAGCCCTGCCCTACTTACCACTACCCCAAATTCTCCTCGCCCTCTCTCTACCCTCCCCCATCTCCCCACCTCCACTCCTGCTTATGTTTCTGCCTCTGTTGTTCCCTCTCTGGAAATACTACCTGAGCCTTTCTGCAAACTGACCTGTCCTCATTCACAGGGCAAGTCTGCTCCCCTCCTCTAAGGAGCTTCCCCTGCCTGAACTTCACCCTCAGACATCTCCCATTTCACATCAGTCTGCACTTGATGGGCCCTCAAAGCCCTGTAGGGTTCTCATGTTTTCACATCTTGTCTCATTTTCCCAGATGGATGATAAACTCCTTGAAGATAAGTACATCTAGTCTGTTCCTTTTACATTCCATGCTTGGGCACTTAAGAAATCCAACAACCATGGACTCTCCTACAATTCACGGGCGTCTGGGGAGCCGGTGTTGAGATGCTCCCCATCTGACCCACAGCCCTCTGTTTTAATTGACCTATTCATGCATGAGAGCAGGGGAGGCCTTTGACCCAGGCAATCTGGTCAGTGGCTCAGACCCAGCCTTGCAGAGGCTTTGGAATGGGACTGAGTGGAGCTATGCAGACAGGGAGCTTCTCCCACCAGGAGCCGCTGGGTTCAACTCATCTCTGATCCTGAGAACCAGCATTAGGCCTTGCAATGCAGGTAGCCATGAATGGGTGGAGAATAAAAGCATGCATCCAGCCCACTAGAGTAGCCCCTTCAAGTCACTTTCGCCTAAGGTGAGTTGACTCCTGTCACAGCCAATCCAAGGCAGTAGGACTAGGCCCGATCTGTGCAGCCTTGCCAGGAGGGTTGAGTAGCTTCTCTCTCCATCCCCAGGACGGCATCTCCAGGTTCTCCTATTGGCACCAATACATGCAGCGTGAGGACTTCGCGGTGGTGGTGCAGCCTTTCTTCCAAAACACACTCATCCCACTGAATGAGGTGAGCTGTGGGCATTTCAGGGAGGCTCAGGTATGGAGCCTTATCACAGACAATGGATGTATTTCTTTCTCTAAGTGGGCATTTTTTTTTTTTTAAACCATCTCTCTCCAAGAGGGCTCTAAGGGTCGCTTTTTCTGCATTACCTCCTTTTTGTGGGGACCGGACTGTGACTGGAACTCAGAAGTCCCTGGAAAGAAAAAAAGGAAATCAATAATGACTAAGCTCCCCAGGCCTGGCCCTGATATTTTCTGGATTGGGATAAAATGTTACTCTTTTCAACTCTTAGGATAGGGGTGCTGAAATAAAAGGGAGAGACTCCAATTCATGTCTGTTTACAAAGAAAATTCTGGCCAGGCACAGTGGCTCACACCTGTAATCCTAGCAATTTGGGAGGCCGAGGCAGGCAGATCACGAAGTCAGGAGTTCGAGACCAGCCTGGCCAACATAGTGAAACCCTGTCTCTACTAAAAGTACAAAAAGTTAGCTGGATTTGGGGGCAGGCACCTGTAATCCCAGCTACTTGGGAGGCTCAGGCAGGAGAATCTCTTGAATCTGGGAGGTGGAGCTTGCAGTGAGCCAAGATGGTGCCACTGCACTCCAGCAACAGTGCGAGACTCCATCTCAAATAAAAAGAAAAAAGAAAATTCCAAATTCTGGGAGTTTTCCCATCAGTTTCTGAGCCAGTTGGGAGGAGAATTGAAAGGATCAAAGGAAACCTGCCCGGGGCATCTGCTGAGAGCAGGGCTCAGGGAGTGGAGCCCTTTCCCAGGATAGTAACCTACTTGCCTTTGGTCACAGAGAGGGGCCGCTGATCTCACCTTCTTCTCCGAGGACTGCTTCCACTTCTCAGAACGTGGGCATGCTGAGATGGCCATCGCACTCTGGAACAACATGGTGAGCAGCCAGAGGCCTGGTAGGCCTTGTCAAGGGGGAATCTAAGCATATTGACTGTGTATCTCACAATGGCAAACCTACTGGAGACATGGCTCCTTTCTCCCCAAAGCCCAAAAGGGCAGCACACGTTATTGGTCCTGATTATTTCCAAAGAGAAAATACCCTATATTATTCAAACACTCTTTGAAAATTACACACATATACACATACTCTCTCTCACACTCTTTATTCTTTGTTCCTTCAGCAATGCCCAGGTACTGTGAGGAGATCCCTTTGTAATCAGATAGATTGGCTGGAATGGAAATACCAACTTCCACCTCTTACTGTGTGACCTTGAGCAAACACTCTCTCTGGCCATCTGTATCAGCATCTATAAAGCAGTGAAAACAACACAAGGCTCAGAAAAGGGATAGTCGGCACTCAGCAAATGGTCAACACAAGGCTCAGAAAAGGGATAGTCGGCACTCAGCAAATGTTAGCACCATCAGCCTTCCAAGCACTCTGGGCTCAACTCATACCCAATTCATTTCTTTAAACATTGAAAAGTGGAGATCCACATAGCCTGTTTTCCCAGACTGATACCTATTCCAGTCCTTTCTGATGGGAAGAAAGGACCTTATGAAAGGAACATACAGTCCCGGGGTCTCAGGGACACCTGGCTGGTGCATCAACTCTGCCCTCTGTGGCTGGCCACAAACAGCAGAACGGTGTTTGCAAAGCACTTGACCTGTCACCTCCAACAACTGGTCCACTTGCACGGAGCAAATGAAATGCTTTCCCAATCCAATGGTTTCTTTTAATCTAAGCTCCGTGGGTAACACAATCCTCACCCCCACCTGTGTGTTCTCTCCTCTGTCCTGTGACAACTAAACAGGCTACATTCCAGCTCCTTTGATCACAGTTTCAGGCCCATGGTGTCTCTGCCAACCACCGCTGTGCAAACATTCCCACCCCTGTCAGCTCACCCAGTATGCTCAGCGCCTCCCTCTGACTCACAACACGGACTTTCTCCTTACCTACACCACCTCTTCCTCTCTAGCGACCTCTTCTTTTCAGAACAGCAGGTAAACTGGCATTATCCTTGGCCTAGTTAATTACACTCAGCTTATGTCTATTGTCACTGTCCTGGGGTTTTCCTCCTGTGGATGTCACATATCTGCCCACTCCAAGAATGTCTGTTGTACTCTTTCAGCCCAAGACTCTAGATTGCAACCAAACCAAAATATCTTTGAGTTTCCCCTACAATTTTTAAATCATAGTTTATATGGTATAATTCCTGTTTCTTTTGTGGACTTTGTTTTGAAGGCTAGTCGTCCTTCAGTGGCTGGATCATGTGACTTTACTCCTTTGTAAAAATTATTCTGAAGGAAGGTTACCTATTCCCTGTTCCTTTTCCCCTGAGACCTCAAGGGAATCCACAGATTCCAAAAAGAGCTAAAAGGAGCTAAGCCCCTGACCCTTCCTTCCTAGGTTTTTCATCAGGGTATGGCCTTCCTACCTGGGTGGCACTCCAGGTCTGCGTAAAGCTGGGACCCTCCAGGAATCTCCTGGGTCTGGACGGTCGTAGCGATGGCTGGAACATAAAAAAGAATCCATTGGTTTGTTTTGTGTGAATTAACAATGTAGCTCTGGCCAGGCATGCTGGCTCACGCCTGTAATCCCAGCACTTTAGGAGGCCAAGGCAGGTGGATCGCTTAAGCCCAGGAATTAGACACCAGCCTGGGCAACACAGGGGAGACTCTGTCTCTACAAAAAAAATCCAAAAATTAGCCAGGTGTGGTGGTGCATGCCTGTAGTCCCAGCTTTTCAGAGGGCTGAAGTGAGAAGATCACTTGGGCATGAGAGGTCGAGGCTGCAGTGGGCCGAGATGTTGTCACTGCACTCCAGCCTGGGCAACAGAGCGAGACCCCATCTCAAAAAACAAAAAGCAAAAAAATCTATGTAGCTCTGGCCTTCTTTTCCAAAGCAGTTCAGTAGCTCTTCTCATTCACCCAGGTGAGAGGCCTTTATTTGATAAAGATACGTGGGAGGGGTTTAGATATTAAAACAGAAGGTAAACACTGCCCTGGAGCTGTTGTGGAAACAAAACAAGAATGTCTGCAGTTCCCAGCCACATGATCTCAGCCATACCCCAAACTTCAAAATTACAAAAACACAGCAAAACTAAAGCCATCCAAGGGTTTCTTATCCTAGGCTATATAATTTGGGGAAATAATTACACAGTCCAATGTTTTTATTCAAAGCCAATCTTAGAGACAAAGCTATAGCATCATGCCAACTTTTCAGATCTACTTCTGACTGGAATTTCACCCCTAGAGTAACATAAAATAAATCATAGACCATTAGAGCTGGAACAGACTGAGAGGTCATCTAGCCAGAACATTCTGTAACTAAAGTATAGAGACATGAAGCAGTTTGCCCAACATAACACAGACTGTTGGTGGCACCAGGGGCATTAGACTCCGGGTTTTTCTAGTCCTTTCCTGGTGACCTGGCCACACCACAACCCTCCCCGCTGCTCCCAGCGTGATAAGCACATATATACGTGGTGAATTCATGTCTCACAATTAGAGTCCTATGACATAGTGTCTGCAGGCTTTGGCTGATGTTCCCAGGGTTCCCTACTAGGGAAACAAACAGCACTTTAACCTATCTCATCTCCTGCCCCTCCTGTCACATCCTTCTCCGGAGGCCTTTGCAAAGGCAAAGCCAGAAACACCAGCAGCAGCAGAGGATGTTTTCCTCTTCCTCTGCCTTCTTTTGTCTTCTTATTATCAAGAGTTTCTCTTAGTCCTCTACTGCTGCCTGCTCCCTCTCCCGAGGAAATCCTACTCTCAGCCAGCGTGTGTCTCCCCAGGTGCTGGGTGACAGCTCCAGCCTCCTGACATCCCTGTCTTCATACTTACAGCCCTTAGAATAGCAATTCTCAGCTCTGACTGCATATTACACTCATCCAGGGATTTGTATTTTATTTATTTATTTTTGCGGCAGAGTTTCACTCTGTTACCCAGGCTGGAGTGCCGTGGCACGATCTTGGCCCACTACAACCTCTGTCTCCTAGATTCAAGCGATTCTCTTGCCTCAGCCTCCCAAGTAGTTGGGATTACAGTTGCCCACCAGCATGCCCAGCTAATTTTTGTATTTTTAGTAGAGACCAGGTTTTGCCATGTTGGCCAGGCTGGTCTTGAATTCCTGACCTCAGGTGATCCACCTTCCTCAGCCTCCCAAAGTGCTGGGATTACAGGTGTGAGCCACCACGCCTGGCCAACATGGCAAAACCCAGTCTCTTTTAAAAGGAGTGAGTGCCTACAGCCACTCTGGAAAACTCTGGTATATTTAATAATGCTGAACACATGTATTTCCTGTGATCCAACAATTTTACTTCTAGGTATATCCCCAAAAGAAAGGTATACACATGTCCACCAAAAGATACATGTAAGAATATTCATAGCAGCACTATTTATAAATAGCCCCAAACGAGAAACTCCCCAAATATCCACTGAGAGTAGGATGGATGAATAAACTGTGGCACATTCATTCTGAGAATACCATACAGGTCTGACTGCATCTGTGGCTTAAAAAAATATATCAAGCAGGGTGAAGCGATGCAGAGTAATGGCCGGGAAGAGGGCAGCCTCGCTGAAGAAGTGACAGTTGAACAAACTTCAACAGCATACAATAATATCTATAAAGTTCGAAAGCCAGCAGCTTAGTATATGGGATTGGGGGTCAGCATGACAGCATCTCCCTGGGGGATGAATCGTCCTGGAAGAAGGTGGAAAGGGGCTTCTCAGCACTTGTAATAGTCTATTGCCTGATTGGATGCTGGTGTGTTCATTTTATCAAAACTTATCTGTTGCTAACTTACGATTTGTTCTAGTTTCTATATGTATGTTAGCTTCAAATAAAAGTTTCCTTGAGGCCAGGTGCAGCGGCTCATGCCTGTAATCCCAGCACTTTGGGAGGCCAAGGCAGGTGGATCACCTGAGGTCAGGAGTTCAAGACCAGCCTGACCAACATGGTGAAACCCCATCTCTACTAAAAATACAAAATTAGCTGGGCGTGGTGGCACGTGCCTGTCATTCCAGCTACTCGGGAGGCTGAGGCAGGAGAATCGCTTGAACCTGGGAGGCAGAGGTTGCAGTGAGCCGAGATCGCTTCATTGTCCTCCAGCCTGGGTGACAAGAGTGAAACTCTGTCTCAAATTTTAAAAAAAAGTTTACTTGAAAACAATACCAGTGCCTGACTGTGTTGTCCCCAGAGATTCTGACTTAATTGGTCTGGAGTGTGAGCTGGATTCAGTACTTTGTGAACGCTCCTGAGATTATTTCAATGTGTAGATATGAACCACCACCTTAGATCTGGGCCCCATAGAGAAATCAAGTAATCTGTATAAAAGAAAACCTGACCAAGTTCCTCCCCTGCTTTCAGACTTCCAGAGCTCCCCACCTCTGAAGGAGGCAGGCCAGGCCCCATAGCACAGCACTCCAGGCCTCTGGGGTCGGCCCGGCTCCCCTGACTGACCTCTCTGGCCAACGCTCCCACCAGCCTCTGCCTCGCATGTCACAGTCCAGTGACTCCAGCGGCATCCTGCACCACCCGTGGCATTCCACACCTCTGTTCACTCTTGCTCATCTCCTTCTCCTGGGCTGCCCTTCTCTCTCACCTCCTTACCCAGCCCACCACTCAACTCAGGTGCCACCTCCTGCAGGAAGCCACCTCTGAATCTTCCAAATAGGCCAGTGGCCAACCCAGGTCCAGTAGACCCTGCCCAGTCCTATCATTTGCTACGTGGTTGGTAGCCACAGTGCCTGGCTTAGGAAAGGTTGGTTCTAGGAAAAACAGTTTCATTCCCTGTGACCAGCTCCAAGCCTTCCCCCGCCAAGCTTCTCCACTCAGGTTTTTGTGACTTCAATTAATTCATCCATCCGTCCACCCAACAAGTATTTATTGAGCACTGCTATGTGCTAGGTGCTGCTCTGGGTGCTGAGGACTCAGCAGTGAAAAAGAGAAGAGGACTCCTGCTCTCATGGAGCATTCAGGATAGTAAGGAAAGGACAGATAATCAACAAGGTCATTTCTGAGCACATCTGTGGCTTAAGAAAAAGTCAGGCAGGGTGATGTGACACGGGGTACTGGCTGAGGGGGAGTGGGAGGCCTCTCTGAAGAAGCCACAGTGAATGGAGATTTGCATGTCAAGAGGCTGCCAGGCAGAGGAAATAGGACCCAGCTGGGCCCAGAGTCAGGAAAGAGCTTGAAGTGTCTGAGGAACTTAAAGGCCAGGGTGACCAGAGGGACGTGAACAAAGCCTAAGAGTTGGGCAAGGTTCTAAGCGGGAGAGTGGTATGCTCTGGTTTACCCCTGGCTCCTGCACCCCTGGACTGGAAGAAAGCAACGGTGGACCAGGAGAGACTAGGAGGTTGCTGGTGACAGGTGGGAGACGAAGGGTCACTGCAGAGGAGGAGAGAGGCGGTCAGATTCAGGATGTGTCATGGGCTGGCGGGTGGATGGCGGGGAGAGGAACTAAGGAGGACTTTTTGGTTTGAGGTCTAAGAAACTGCGTGGATGGTTAAGCAGGTAGAGAAAAATCAGCTCGGGAGGAAAAAATCAAGACTTCTGTTTTGGACATGGTGTGAGCTGCCTTCCAGACATCCACACAATGGTATCAGGATACAGAAGTCTGGAGCTCAGAGGAAGTCAAGGCTGGAGACTGGGGGAAGACATGGGGTTATCAGCATAGCGGGCCAAAACGGTGAAATCCTGACTCTACTAAAAATACAAAAACTAGCCAGCGTGCAGTGGGCATCTATAATCCCAGCTACTCAGGGAGGCTGAAGCAGGATAATTGCTTAAACCCAGAGGCAGAGGTTGCAGTAAGCCAAGATCGCACCATTGCATTCCGGCCTGGGTAACTGAGCAAGACTCCATCTCAAAACGAACAAACCAACAAACTACAGAGAAACAAAGAGCTACTAGAGAAAGAATAGTTAGAAAAGAGTGTAAGGCCGGTCAAGGTGGCTCACACCTGTAATCCCAGCCCCTTGGGAGGCCGAGGTGGATAGATCACCTGAAGTCAGGAGTTCAAGACCAGCCTGACCAACATAGGGAAACCCTGTCTCTATTAAAAAAAAAAAAAAAAAAAGAGTGTAAAGGCCAATTACCTAGCCCTGGGCATTCATTCCAGCTTTCGACTCCAGTAAGAGGTGAGAAGGAGAAAGTGTGAAGGTAGGAGAGAAATAAGAAACAGAGAGCCAAGAGAAGTCAGTGTTTCAAGAGAGAGACAGCTGTCAGCTTTGATGAATGCTCCTGAGAAGCCAAGCAAGATGAAGACAAAAAAAAAAAATCACCTTTGAGCCAGGCATGGTGGCTCAGGTGTAGTCCCAGCACCATGGGAGGCCAAGGCAGGCAGATCACGAGGTCAGGAGTTTGAGACCAGCCTGGCCAACATGGGGAAATCCCATTTATATGAAAAATACAAAAATTAGCCAGTGTAGTGGTGGGCACTTATAATCTCAGCTGCTTGAGAGGTTGAGGCAGGAGAATCACTTGAGCCCGGGAGGCAGAGGTTGCAGTGAGCCGAGATCACACCATTGCACTCCAGCCTAGGTGACAGAGTAAGACTCCATCTCAAAAAAAAAAAAAAAAAAGACGTTTGGCTCTGCCCATATGGAGATCTTTGGTGGCCTTGGCCAGAGCATCCATCCAGTGTTGGAGACTGCAGACTGCCTGGAGTGAACAGCAGAGAGAATGAGAGATCAGGAAGTGCTGCTGGCACCTATCGACAGCTCTTTCAGGAAGTTGTGAGAAGTAACAGCCAAGGTCACTGGAGGGACTGTAGGATCTAGAGAGGGCAGGCGAAGGAGGGGAGATGTCGGAGCAGGTTGTGTACTGATGGGAAGGAACCAGTAGAAAGGAGAAATGGAAGCACTCATCAAACCCTTGGAATCATGATCATCATCTGTGCGAGTTCGTTCCTGGGTTCCTGGAATAGCATCAGGAATCACTCGCCCTGACCTT